AGTACAATATGTACATGACTGTACACACTAGTCAAAACAACAGATGGCTTGATCAGTCACAACTTAAAGTTTCATGCCATCTCAGGCACTCATCAGGTGATATGAACATCAAGAAAAATAACCCACTATTTAAAGCCCAGTATGGCGGGACAAGGATAACAGAAAGCGCTAGGGGCGCTATCAACTCATATCCGATTCAGTGTCATAGCCAGTAAGGATCGCGGTACTAAGGTGATAAAGGTGATAAAACCGAGCTGGCCTAGCTAGTGAGTTCCGCGGTGCAAAGATGATGATGGTGACAAGGCGGCAGAGAGCTATCAACTGGCCCTACTGCCTGGAAGCAGGGTGCCGAGAAGATCATGTTATCGGTGTTGACAGCATGAATTTATTTTGATGTCGACATTTGGATATCAACTCCGACCGCTTGTTGAGGCTCGATCTCCTGTCGGCAGTGATTATTCTCGCCTTCTCCTCGAGGCACAGGCTGCATCTTTTTGTTATGTTGCTGTAGGCCTTGGCCTTCTGAACCACTCGCCACTTGATGTCGTGCGTCTTGCCATTATCTTTTAATTCCCACGCATGATTGTACATGTACATGTACATGTACATAATTGTACATGCATATTGTTAGATTGACAGCATGAAACAAGGTGGAAGACACTGTGTTCGGAAACGGTGACCTTACTACAACCTTCCGCGGTTGGCAGAGCCCCGGTCCCTGCGGACCATTTGAACCATATGGGTGTTGAACCCGGTTCTGACCCTCATTATGCTAGGGGGGTTGGAGACTACTCCTTGCGTCCGTCGTGTATTCTTTGATCGCTCCTGGATGTCGTCCTGGTAGTCATCTAACAATATGCGTGAACTATAACAAGGTTTATCTATTAGTATTAGTAATACTACTAGTACTAGTTTTGAACTAGTTTTGGGTTATAATTATAATGATTGTATAATGTACATGACTTGTACATGTACATAATGTTCGTGGATGATGTCTAAGTGTCTGGTGGTGCCAGCCTGCCAGGTGACATACAATGTACATGTACATGACTCGACTGTGGTCATCCGGATCCCCCCCGTCATACTCACAACTACACACTACAGGTGTAGTGTCGGGCACTGCGTCACAGTCTATGTGCCTCGTCAGAAAGCCTCTTACAGTCTTAGTACCCTTTTAGGTACAATACACGCAACTGCAGGCTGTTGTAGGCAGTATGATGCTAGTGTGGAGCCAACTAGCTGTAGCTGTAATTACTATTCCTAATTAATTAACATGATTCGATTAGTGGAGCTACAGGTACAATATGCATAGCTGAGAGGCATGGCATCACCACTCACGAGTCCAGGCCAGCGCATGCACCTACATGTACGGTACACCAACACCTACATGTAAGTAAAGTCATTGTAGAATGTGGTAAAATATGGGTGCAGGAAATATGCAACTCTACACATGGTCTGGTATAGTGTTCATCGATGTATCCACGTCTGACGGTCTGGTAACAACAGCTACATGTACATGTACATATACATACAGTATAATGAAGGGCTTGAAGGCAATAATGACTACACATTCCGAAGCCAACAAAACAAATTACGACTTCTGGGTCAAACAATCGGAGGTCCGCCCACAGGTTCGCTCATGCAGGATAGATTCAGGGGTGATGGTTTCACGATGTTGAGTTTCATGATAGAAGAAGAAAAAAGTTTTTTAATAGACTTCTCCTAACGTCAGTCGTGTATTCTGTGATCGCTCCTGGATGTCTTCTTGATAGTCATAAAAATATTGTAGCTATTTTAACCCGAATTGTTTTTCTTAAGTAGCAGTACTGAAGAGACTTGGCAGCCGTCGGTCCAGGGCTATTGTCAAGAGGTAGTAATAACTATCGTCATTATTGTGTAAACCATACCGAAAAACAAGCATTTCGGACCTTTCAGTTCAATCGTTTGGATAATTGGCATTCCACTGTTGTAAATTTCATGATATGACTGTATACATGTACATGTATGTACAATGGAAGGTCGTGGTGGGCTTGGGTATAGGCTATACTGAGTATAGGGTGTGGTACGGTGTGGTACGGCGTGGTGGTCAGTGGCTTGATTATGAACTGCCCCTAACTGGCGTATAGACTGAAAGTAAGAGTGATACTGACAGCGTGTCATTACTGTGATCTCACTCAGACTGTCAGAGAGTGCCCCTCCGAGTGCATGCACTGGTTCAGTCGCCGATCCCGGAACTGTTACTCTTCGCCGGTGTTATTGTTAGTACTGTTTTACACTGCACTGATATCCGTGTATTCATTCACTGACTGCCCGGACTGCTACTAGGATTACTATTAGTATTACGATTGCCAGGAGTTCGAGTGTCGGCAGATGCAGACGTACATGTACGTAGCTAGCTACGTAGATCGATCAGGCCACGGCCGGCAGCACACGTGCTTCACACGTGACATCTAAAATTGCTCTGTATGTACGTATACCGTCATTATATTATACGTATGCACTCTGCGGACTAGTCGACTGAGGAGCGTGTCGTGGATGTACATGTATACGGGCACGTAACGACATAACCTGTATGTATCTGCAGGATGCCAATGCGGCTATACTTAGGGATCTCAGCGCGTGCAGTGCGCAGGGTGTTTGCGCATACATTGCGTCATCGAGTTTTGAGTGCAGCTCGCGGACACAGCAGAAAAATGGCGACGGTCGATTTTCGACACTAGGGGACGCGGTGGACACTAGCGGAATCATCATCTTCATCGTCGTTCGAACATACGTTGTAATTCCCGCCGAAGGACAGCGTGGCCAAGGCGATATTGCCCCGGTCGATTTTCCTATAATTTTCCATGCGGCAAGAACCCACTTCAGAGAGGATTCAGTCAAAAATTCAGACGTTTTCTCCGGTTAGATTGTCCTAACTTCGATTTTCAGTGCATCAGCCATCGCGAACATCGCCGCCATTATCACTCGGAGAGAAGACATCGCGCTCAGTAGAAGAGGTGTTCACGCTGCGTCCAAGAGTGAAAGATTGTGCTCTTTGACCCTCCATAGTTCCTCTGAGAGAGTGTCTGGGAGATAGGTAGCTTGGAGATGGCCGTAGAACGTGCTTTCCTGGACGCAATATTCAGCCATTTCTACTGTCTTCTTCAACTTGATTTATTTCGAAAAAATGTTCTTTTCCACGATTTCTGCACTGGACGCATTTGGGATCGAAAATATTACCTGCGCAGACTGGCTGCGCAGTTCACGCGCTGAGATCCCTACTATACTGCGAACACAAGGCAGTCTCGATCCTCTTGATCTTGACACCTGGTCCTGTACCATCATGTACAGCTTGTACTGGGTCTCCGTCCTCGGCCTAAGCCTAAGGCCTATCACTATTACTAGTATTAGTATTAGCGTTGACCATTACGCCATTAGGACAAAATAACATACTACATGCACGGACATAGAAGTCAGAACGGTTGGCCAATTGGTGGGTTTCACGCTGAGCGATCATCGATGATCAGGCAGGCAACTATTTTCAAGTGCTGGGGGCATAACCGTTACATCCCTGATACATTCTTGATACATCTACATCACTGTATGGTGAGAATCTTAACCCGCACTCTGCCGTTCCTTCATCTTTCCGCTGTTCCTCCTCGCGGGGCACGATTCTTGTCGAGGAGATGCACGTACATGTACATGTATATGGGTCACCGAGAGTTGAGAGCTAGCATCAGTTGTTACATCTGTGTGCTGCTGCTGCTGCGTGGATTGGGTTTCTTGTCTTCAGCTCCTTCTTCATAGTGGGTTGGGTGAGAACCATACCTAGACGATCCTACCATTGTATGTTCTAGACAACGTACGCCTTTCCGGACCTTCACTCTGGTTTCAGGCAATTCTAAAGTTTACTTGCATGAATCCTTCCTCACCACGTCTGTTGTTCTCTTCTTCTGATAAGTGATAACACTGCTCTTGCCGGGTAGTGCTAGTCTCGGGTTTGGCACTAATAAGACGTGAAAGTTACGGATTGCCACCACGCCAGGATGACATCGGAAAAATACAGAGACTGCAAGGCATTCCAAAGGTAGGGAAGACCAGCTCCGTGCTGCTGTGACAGTGTGAGTCCACGTAGTTTCCCCTTCCAGCATTACACAATCATGATGTAACACACATGTACTAGTAAATGAACAGTTCGTATGGTAGTGTATGGTAGGACACTGATTGAAAATAACTCCGACTGTTCCGCTTCTGTTTTGCTGGTATCAAATGTTGCCTGAACTTTCATCGAGTCTCAGTTCACTTTCAGAGATTTACCCATGTTCACAGTTGTTTGCATACATTCGTCCAATTGACTTCGTCCGAGCCAATGCATCTGTACCTGAATAGGTCATCTAGCCTGGTTACTGAGTATGATGTTCATCCTGCTCAGTTCCTCCCCCATGACAGTGATACCGTAAAAGAAAATTTAACGTCATTGTCCCATGATATGTGTGGGTGGGGGCTACCAGCAGGTCTTTCCACTCACGGATCAGTTTCCAGGATCAGATACCTCACGCAACTCATCGCGCCCTTCAACGGACTCTTCATTTCCCCTAATGCCAAAAATGTAATGGTCCCTTTCGAAATCGTGAGTGCGCGTGTGCTGCTTCAAGGCGGAGATCGAAACAAACGACAGATCAGGCCCTCACGAACCTGCACGCGCGTCTCACCACATCCGGCCACGACAACTATCCTTGCCTAGAATTCTAGGCCTTTCCTTCTAGAAGGCTAGATAGAGGCTAGAATCTAGCTGCTGCTGACGTGTGTGCCCGGTGAATGCCCGTTGCATTGAACGTAAAATTCACGATGACGCCAAAATACCTAAAATTTACAATTGTACGGCTTATCATCATGCGCTAGGCCTACTGTGCTGACCATGCTAGTATTTGCTAGTAAGGCTGGGTACAGACAGAAACTGTAACGACCATCTTTGTCTTGTTTTTCTTGATTTCTGCCTCGAAGCCACGAGCTGTTTCCGCTATTGAAACTGTTAGCCGACAGTCACGATCGCATTCCCGGACAGGATCACCCTGAAGTCATGCACAATGAAATGGAAAGCCTCCTTCGTCTCGAGCTGGGCAAGTACGATGTAAGTAAATCCTGTGGTGTCATCTTTACCCAGGGGGTACCATTCATGACGAGCGTGTGCATGTGTTTAGGTTCCCCGTACCGTCATTATGTCTCAACAAAAGAAACAAAGCTATCGCAAAAAGAGTAGTTGCGATGAAGATCACCACCCAAAAATGATGGTGAGTTTTCCCGTGAACGTTGCCGGATCGAGATTCGACACGGATCCGCACAGCAGAACTCGCTGGGTGATCATCACAACGACGACGAAAGCCCACGGACAGTGCCAGATCTTATCGGCAAGTACTGCCTGTATGTGCATCTGTGTTTAGGATATTTCACTTTAGTTGCAACGCTAATGTTTTGATCTGAAATACACGTGCTCCGACTTCACACTGCAAGTATTGGGCGATTCAGACTACGGCCGATTGTTTCCACGTTTCTACGACTCAGCTCAGACGTGTTTGATCAGCGACTGTTCAGTATCATTTGAAACACGACTGCATCACCATGGAAATTCAAGTTCAGACGTGATTTTGGCCTTTGTCTGAATCGAAGCATTTCACGAGTGAACTAGTTTGTTGCGTTTGCTGTGGGTTTTTTTTTGTAACCGTAGTGCATTTCAAATAGACTCTACCACTGGAACATCATCTCTTCTCCCCGTAACCCGAGGGGTTCCGCAGGGAACAATCTTGGGTCCCAACCTTTTTAACAGATATGTGCGACTCTTACCTGACCTGGCTGCAGGGAGCGGTGCAAAGCTGCTCATGTGTGCCAATGACAAGACTTTGTACGCTTCCTCACGAGATTCAATAGTATGCGCCGATGTCGTGTCCTCGGCTCTCGCTAACCTACACAGTGAACTAAGATTACTGGGCATGAGCGTTAATTAATGTTGACGAAACCGTGGTCATGAGGATCTTGCCGTCGTATGCTCCTGACGTACAAAGACCAGTTCTTGTTGAGCTGGGTGGCACTAACTTAAGGGAAGTGAGTGTAATTCGCTGCCTTGGTATCCTTATCGATAACAAGCTCTCGTTTGTTCCATACGTAGATCACCTCACCAGCAAGGTGTCACGCAAGATAGTCGCGTTGCGACGCACCTTCCGCCAAATGGCAGCATTTGCCCGTCGCCAGTACCTGCTTAGTGTGATGCAGCCTGACTTTGAGCATTGTTTCCCTGTTTACGCATCTCACCTATCAGCACAGTCCAGGGAGAGATTGTTTACTTTGTTCCGTCGAGCTGTACAAGTTACCTGCTGTGCTTCATACCATGCTGCTGTTCCACCCCTTGCTTCTCTTCAAATAAAACACCTTGAATAACAATACATTTATCATTTCCTTACGTTTACGTTTATTTGTCGTATTGTTCAGCCTGCATCATGCTTATGCAGTCTTTTCCCTTTACCTACCTCTAAGCGGTCAACTCGTGGAACTACAACAAACAATTTGTCAATTTGCTTGTTAAAATCCATGGTAGGGTACATTTCCTTTTCTTCCAGAGCATCCCTTATGTGGAATGCCCTCCCTACTCACTTCAAACGAATTGAAGACATTAGATCATTTTCTACAGAACCTTTGCACGCTCTAAATGACGACAAATTGGCTATATCCCTATATCCCTCCCTTTTGAAAATGTATTTAAGCAATAAAATAAGGCTTGGAATTTGTTAAACTCAACTCGGATGGTGAGCCAATTAAATTATGGTGAAAAAGGAGAAGGACAAAATGTTACGAATTATGACTAACTGTCCACCAACGTAACCAAATCTTATACAGTCAGCGAGTACGACAAAAGTTTTAAACATGAATATCGACGGACTTGCCCCTTCTGTTCATGTCTTGCCCCGCTCTAGTAATGATTCAAAAAGCCGCCCAGTCCACATTCGTTCTCCGTTTTTCTTTCCTTCCAGTTGCATCTTCCTTTCTGCTCTGTTTTACTTTCTCTTTTCGTTTGTCCCTCTTGATATTTGTACTTTGTGGTGTTGAGGCAACGAACTGAAATAATAAAAACCAAACCAAACAGCCTGCTCCCCCCTCAAAAGCCTTATGCCGTTATTTTCATTTTCTTTGAACATGGTAACACACACAGAGTTCATCAACAAACTACAGTCCTGCTCAATGAAATCCAGTCGCTTCTTTCAAGATTGCGCCTTGCACCATTTCGCAGCCCAGTGTTGGCAGGTGTACGGTCGGCTGCGCAAAGCCCGGCGTATACTTGAGTGACGCTGTGACTGGATTTCATTGAGCATCACTGTACATGTACATGTAACCGGCCCAGTTCCACAATGTACATATCTACATGATTGTATGTGTGATGTTGTGTGACTTTTGATACCTTGCAGTTGCCTGCATTCTGGACACAACAGCTGAGCCCCCACTATTACATGTATCTGCACACACACACACAAGCACACACACACATACACACACATACACACATTTGGACCTTTGGAAAGCCCATCGCCAAAGGCGATGATAGCTATTAGGCGAGGCAGTAGTTCTTTTGTCGGGATAAATCATTCGGACGGCGAAAGTCGCGGCCGCAGACACAGACGAACACTCTTGGTTGGTGCTGACTTTTTGGCTTCCGACGGCTACGCTCGCGCCAGTCCTCCGCTCCTGAGCAAGGTGGTACCATTGCGCCTCCGGGATACAGGTCGCAAGCAGGTCTGAAGCTGCCACATCTCTCCAACCACGCTTGGGTCCATGGCGGGGCTGTGTGTTGGTGCCCTCCACACACACACACACACACACACACACACACACACACACACACACACACACACACACTAGTTGTGTGTTGGGGTGGGGGGGGGGGGGGCTATACTCTGGATTGGTCTGAATTTGGCGTTTACGGTTGCACATATTAGGCGATTCACACGACAGGCACATGCACGTTTTATAGCTAGTGATTCACGAGAAAAGTGGTTGTGTGGATTCACACGGCTGTACTCGACGACAGGCACGTTTGCATTCAGTTTGGACGATTTACCCACCAGTTGCCATGGGTATTTCAAATGCCGGGCAACTCTACAAAGCATGGAAATAGTAGCAAGGTGAAAAGAACTGCGCACAAAATCAAGTCTTGTTTCACGCTTTTTTGGCACGAGATGACACTGGCTGATTGCAGGTCAACCAATACAGCCATATACTGATGTATTTTGCCTACAGGATAGGACTCGCATTCATACTCCGAAGGTCAAGGAAGGAATGGATGACATAACCCAAGCTGTAAGATCATTGTTTGTCTACCCTTATGGATTTCTATGGAACTAAGGATTTGCAGAAAGTGTGACAGAATCTCATAGCAATCTCCAATCACTGAATGGGAAATAACTGTTATGATGTAGCATGAAATAACATAATGTCACCACTTGGAATTGGACGGGTGCTAATTTTGAAGCTGTGTCTGACGAATGGAATGAGTGTAGCCTGGCCTCAGTGGGCCAGGCAGCAGACAAGGAGAATCATCAGATCAAACTCACAAGTAGGTCACAGTTCAGTTGTAGATCAGATGTAGACTCAGAATCAGACTGAATTGGAAGAGGATGAACTGAAGTGTGACAGCCCTACTTATACCTGGCCAGAGTGCTCTCTGTCCAATCAGGAGCTATGCATGTGACTACCATGACTACAGGTGTGGTGCAACTGCACCAACTAGGAATGCAGTGAGTCATGCATGATGTCAAGTAACAGATGCCTGCTAAAAAAGTATGAAAACAAGAAAAAAGATTAAAGCTTTACAACAAGGTGGCTCGAACCTAAACTACACGATCTACTGTTCCCAAACCACTGGCATCCCTCCATACAAGGTACAATGAATGAGGCATGCCCAAATATGCAATATGCACTGTGTTACATCACTCCCTCCCCAAATTGAATCACGTCCTCGTGATTATCAAATAAATCCAGTCAGTGCAGGAGAGGGAAAAACACAAGATAACTGGAAAATGCCTCCAGTTATAGAACTATATACAGTATGATACAAATTTACCTAATGAAGACTGTACACAAATGTCAGGACCACATTGTCCTAGCGATAACGCGCTGGAGGTTGAATATTGTTACGGTTTCGCAAACCATATGCATGCTGCGGTGCAACTGGTGCTACTGGTGCTACGACTGGAACTTGTAGGAACTCGACTACTGGTTCCGGAAAGCTAACTGCTGATGGAGACGGATGGGGCCGATCAGCACTACTATTGACACTGGTATCGTCTTCTCGAACCGGTTTTAAACGGTTGACGTGAACTACTTGCATCTTACCAGTTTGACAATGCTCAATGCGATACACCACATCATCAATCACTTCAATGACTCGGTACGGTCCCGTCCATGGTTTCCGGAACTTCTTCGTGGTGCCTGCTTTCACAGCTGGGTTGTGTAAGCGCACCTTGTCATTGATCGCAAACCGTGGCTTGGTTGTCCTTGCATCATAGTAGTCCTTCTGACGTTTCTGTGCCTTAGCGCCAGCTGATCGAGCATGAGAAAATGCCTGCTGCAAGGAGGTCTCACACCAGCAGCATCTTTCAGCGCCTTGTGAATCTAAGAATGCTCGCAAACATGCCAAGCTACTCTCTCTCTCTCTCTCTCTCTCTCTCTCCCTCTCTCTCTCTCTCTCTCTCTCTCTCCCTCTCTCTCTCTCTCTCTCCCTCTCTCTCTCTCTCTCTCTCTCTCTCTCTCTCTCTCTCTCTCCCTCTCTCTCCCTCTCTCTCCCTCTCTCTCCCTCTCCCTCTCTCTCTCTTCTTGTCTAGATATTGGATGAGATGTCAAATTTACTGGACAACTGCAGAACATTGCTCGATGTAAGTCCTGAACTTCTCCCGTCTAGCAATAATATAGAAGAACGTGCATTGCAGACTCAGCGGAGGACGTCCAGGTTGGTTGTAACTCTGAGTTTCATGCCGTTGGGCAATCATCAGACAACTGATACTCGGGTCTACCCAACAGTATGCTTATAAACACATAGGGCCACAAGCATGAACAAATTTAGCGCTAAATCTGGTGTAAGGTATGGGGAGAAAGCTGGCGCTGGCCAACGCGCGACAGTAGAAGTGCCAGGAGGGTGGTGGGCAACAGGCAGGTGTAAGCATGAAAGCACGGAAAGAGGCGATGGGGAGGCAGTGTGCAGCAGATGGGTGGAGGTGCCAGGAGGATGGCGGGCAATGGGCCAGTGAGATCGCTAGGCGGTCTTTGGGTGACGGGCAGGCGTTGTGAGGTTCAGAAATACTTCCGCGAGAAAGTTAGGAGTCTGTTAGCTCCCGGCTAAATGCAGGCCCCTCACACTCTTAGAACACAGGGTTTTGTAGTATTGAATAATTATATGGAAGAAGTATTTAGACAAGAGAGTAGACAAGAGTGGAAAGACAAGAACGAATAGAGAACCACTGGAGCATGCGCTCTTCTGTACTTGATGGGATCTCATTGCTATGGTGAAGGAGCGGCAATCCATCCAACATGGAATTAGGAGCTCATCAACGGTCAACATCAACCTTAGCCAGATGTTACTCTCCGTTGAGTAGAACCTGGGTTTTAGGGTGTTCGGCCCTGCTAGAATGCACTGTTGATCATGTCACGAGGGCAAGACATCTACACCGATCCATTGTCCCGAAGTATGCATACTTGTTGCCAGAGTGAAAGGCAGACCGTTCATGCCGGCCTACTATGCTTTGTGTGCACGGTATTTGTGAAATTGTTTCTTTGTTCCTGTTGTACTGCCTAGTTCACATTGGGCAATGTCTTTCCCTGACTGCAAGTGCCTTTGCTTACCAGCAACAGATCTCAGTGTATCTGAAGACGAGCAAACATCGTTATGGCGTTATACCAATGGATTGCGTTGTGTCTTGTCGCATTTTCAGCTTCACAAGCAATGTCACAGACGCATGCAACAGCAGATCTGTCACATTCAGAAAGACTTCCTGGAGCAGTCCAGTGCTATCATCAATAGTGTGAAGCCGTTGCAGCAGGCACCGGTGTACCAGCCTCGGGGATACGATGCTATGCCAGGAACAGTGGAGACCGGAGGATCAGTACTGGTGAGTGTACGACTACTGTAATAGGTGTATTTATGCTACGACCACACTACAATGTCATACTCACTATTAGTATTTCCTGCTCGTTCCACACTGCCACCGGCGACTTGTTCTATGAAATAGCCTTTTTCACTCACAGGGCAACTATTCAGTAATGGAGTAGTGGTCTACCAGAGCAATCATGCTCACGATGGGGAGAAACAAAGACCACGATGATAGGTTCTACAGAGTTGCGCCGGACAAGAGCAACTTCTCGAAAATGTTTGTGATAGAAAAATACATTTTTACAGCAGAAATGGTGCAACTGCACGCTTTCCACATAGAACACTGGCATGTGCAAGCTGCTAAACGTGAGAATAGTGTGAAGAGAGCTATTGACTCGCTCACTGGTGGAGGAACACACCACATAGCACAGACGGCGTAAACCTTACGAGGAAATGCCACTACTACTGACCAGGCAGGAAAGCGAGAACAGTGATGCATAGTGAGATGATCATGGTTGAACAGTGATGCATAGTGAGATGATCATGGTTGAACAGTGATGCATAGTGAGATGATCATGGTTGAACAGTGATGCATAGTGAGATGATCATGGTTGAACAGTGATGCATAGTGAGATGATCATGGTTGAACAGTGATGCATAGTGAGATGATCATGGTTGAACAGTGATGCATAGTGAGATGATCATGGTTGTCATGGTGATGCTACTGGAAACTATACTGTGCGGCATAGTGAGATGCCGATCATGGTTGTCATGGTTGCATTGTCCCTCGTGTGCAGGCGAGGCGAGACCAACCGCCAAGATCTGCCTATGCGGCAGGCTCGGCTGCCGCTCAGGATTCAGACTGCTCTGTCCGCCCGTCGACGGGATCGACAGCGGGAGTCCTCACTGATGCCGATGTGCACCACGAAACTGGTAGCCGCGAGTGTGACACGAGCAGGTTTAATGAGCAACATCTGACTAACGAGAGACTAGCTTGGGCATTCACTCCAGTCAGGGCTGCTTGGTCAATGGTTCGTATCAGCAGCTCAGTTTGATCAATCCTGTAGGTGTTGCAGAAGTGTCCTGCTTTTCTCCTTCCTTCTTCACCGACTTGTTTTGCCACTTCTTCTTCGTTCTTCACCGACTCGTCTTGTCATTTCTCCTTCCTTCTTCACCGACTCGTCTGGTCCACTCTGCTCTGCCACTGACTTCACAACAAAATATTGCAACGGAGCTTTCGGCCATAATGCCCCAGCTGGCCGCTCGTTGGTCAATTCATGTGGCGTCTGTTGTAGGAGCTGCGGCAACCAGGGAAACAAGTAATGGCCCAACACCATAGACAAAACAAGAGGCAGGTGGGCAGTATGCCTAGGACTACGGGACACTTCGAATCATGATTACGCTCTACAAAGAGAGACTTTAGAAACTGAGTCGTTTCAGGCCTGCCGAAATGGTATGTTGATAACACCAGCTGAGCGGGGCGAGTGACCAGCGCTCAACGTCCACCATACGGCTGGCATATTGGATTTTCTTGGCTCAATCATGGGCTTGTGTTTGAGGCTACACAAATGCTGCGATAAGAGTGATCTACACATCGAAATAAGTATGCTGTGGCCACGACCAAAAAACCTCTAGACCGGACGTCCAGCTGAGCCTCTGTATTTCTGTTCAAAGAACTCCCACCGGGATGGAAGGTCTTCACCGCTGCACGTTAATGACTTTGCCTTATCCCGATGTCCTCTACACCTGTCCCCGGCACCCGGAAGAGTGACGATGAGGTCGTCAACTTCATTCTGACGTGCAATCATATAGCCACTAGAGGCGCATGTTAGTGCGTGCTCGGGGCTCAAGGCAGTGCCACACACGCGTGCACGCACACACGCATGCACGCACTCACACACACACACACACACACACACACACACACACACACACACACATACACACACACACAAACACACTTACCGTATCCTACCAACCATTCAGCTGTCGTCCATGACAGATACATAAAGCATCACGGAAGTCTGACTTTTCGTAGGATTGCTCCATCCCGCCAGCGCACGGAGCAGCATTCAGCCAGGACGACCGGCCTTTCTCACTCATCATTGTCATCATTACAGCGTTGCCTTGCACATGACATATTGCACCTCAGCCGTAGAACAACAGTGTGCAGCTTAAAGCCTCCCTATCCGCACAGCAGCGTGTGTTGTCATTAAGAGAAAATGAAAACCCAGTCCAAGACACTTTATTATCAAAATAGTATAAGCGGTGTCTACTCCGCTTGCGGCAATCCTTCATTTTGCCACCTGAAACTGAATCACAAATGAGCAGACAACCACAAGGATGACCAAATACGGAACCGCAGTACAGTTACACACACACAGGTGAGATATATGCGTAATTGCTCTTAGATGCTCTCGTCAGATCTATGCTCAGTCCACAACACTCTACCCACACCTCAGCCAACTGAATACGCTTCCCATCTGCCATCCTCAATGTCCGCTCTTCCACACCATACGTAATGACGGGCCATGTAAGGGCTTTTTGTTAGCCGCACCTTCAACCCGTGTGATAAGTGGTTGTCTTTGCACTGCGGAGGCCGGATATGTCTGCTAGTAGTGTCTTTCTCTTAGCGCTAGCAATCCAGGTCTTGCCATTGTCAGAACTGTCACCGTCCACTGCCTTTAATAAACCTGGGTTTTAAAACTTGCAGGCGTCTTTCAGAGCATCATCTAATACCACCTGCCGATAATAGTGGAGAGGATTGCTGGGCTGCAAACTGTATGTCACTTTGGTCTTGCTAGCATTCCAGTTCTAGCCTTTGTCCTTGCCTTCTTCATTCACAGCTGCCAGCAGTTTGCCGATGTCAAGTGTGTGTGTGTGTGTGTGTGTGTGTGTGTGTGTGTGTGTGTGTGTGAGTGTGTGTGTTGATGTGCATAATGCAGCAGCATCAGCTTGCCGCGGGGTTAGAATTTTAACCCCGAATTGCCGCCGTATTCCTTTATTTGTGCTTCACACATGACATACTTTTTTCTTTTTTTTTAGCGGTGAAGATGCGATGGCAATGCATCCCTGGGCCGTACTCCTTTCTGAACGCTGCTGTCATGGGTGGATCTGGCACAAAATCCACTTTCATGCACGGCTTCCTTTGCGACAAAATGATTCATATCGGAAACAACTTGGCTGGCCTCCACGTGAATGATGGTGCCCAAAGACAATCAATCAACCAAGTTACAGAGTAGTTAGTTTGCGCTAATCGATTTCTGAAAACCACTCACATTTTTGCAGACGGTGGAAGCCCACGTTACCTAGACTGAAAAAGATTATTGGCCAACACACCCGGACACTCTCCTAATTATTTAAGAGATTTAAACTGTCTTTTTTTTAGACCTGCACACAACATTGACCACAGCGCAGTGGACCTCATTCAGTGCAATTCTAGTTTGTCGATGTAGACAAAAGTGAAATGTTGACAGTTGATAAAGAAGAACGTAAGCAGCAGCATTCGACCGTTGAAAAATTCTGTGAAAACTGACTCCACCACTTGTTGATAACGACACCTTTTTTTTTAAAGAAATCCTCTGGGTTGTGGTTGCTTTTGTGTGTGTGGGACTCTTTATCAGATGGTTTTAAATAAATAGAAAGAGGTCTCGACCTCAGATTTATGGCTATCATATAGAAACCTGTAATACGAACCGAGGCTTTGCCTTGGGGTACTATTTTATGTGTACATATACAACCAAGCGGGTGCATAGGTAGCACGAAGAGTCCATAATCCCCCAGAGTGCGCAACTTCACTGTTCAGATCTGGGACGGCGAAATCCGTGTTGCACGTCATAGTGTGACATCATGAGTAGGGTAGAGTATCTCCGTGGCGGACCGCGTCGACGGAATGACGCAAGTCCGACCCGAAACATGATGTACATCACGGATTACGCCGTGTCACAACCCCGTCCCAGTTGCACAGTCTTCTGGGGGATCATGGACTCTTGGTAGCACGCACAGTGTGCAAAACAATGGCGAACACACACCTACAGCACAGCAATACTACTCGGGGCATCTCTGCTTTTTTCAGTGTTACCACCCCGCATTGCTCCATTTGTCTGACATCTACATGCATATAACACTATGACTTTTTCCCACTTTGCGTAATGATTTCTTGTTCCGGCGTGAGCAGGTCGGGAAGAGATCAGCTGATTCACTGGAGAACCGGCCCAGTCAATTACAGCTCCATCCTAGAGGTGTGTACCTGTATGCAATTGAGTGGTTTCGAATCCATCACATGACCGTAGGGGACAGGCATGTTGATTCCTACTCCAGTCAATCCCTGTATCTATGGGTCACATGATGTCGGTCATGTTGCCATGTCTATGGGTCACATGATGTTGGTTATGTTGCCGTGTCTATGGGTCACATGATGTCGGTCATGTTGCCTGCGTACACATGCGTACACTCCACACCAGCGCAAGGCCGGTCTCGAGGCAGGGCACCGTTATTCTTGATCCGAGAGTCTCCGCAACTCCCCGGGTTCCCCTCAGATGTTTACGGTATTATGACGCAAAGATCCGATTCCGTTCGACCATGGCCCTATGCAGAGCTGGATCAGGTGTTGCACACTCTGGGCCTGGGGGGTTATGTACTCTTGCTAGTACTTTTGCTTGTACTCTTGCTTCGAATCCGTTCTACTGGGTCCTGGACTTTCTACTGGGTCCTGGACTTTCTACTGGGTCCTGGACTTTCTACTGGGTCCTGGACTTTCTACTGGGTCCTGGACTTTCTACTGGGTCCTGGACAATGTTGTCGCCAACTTATTTCCATGTGGTTAGCCCGTTAGTGGTATTGAGTACAAGTGCATAATGTAAGATATGTGTGTTTTGTGTGGGCATGTATGTGTGTATGTGTGTCTTTGTGTGTGTATGTGTGTTTCTTTGTGTGTGTGTCTTTGTGTGTGTGTGTGTGTGTGTGTGTGTGTGTGTGTGTGTGTGTGTGTGTGTGTGTGTGTGTGTGTGTGTGCATTATCTTTCTGTTCACCTGCATACATGCATCGAATTCCGACCGTCCGCCAGCTGATAACGCGAGCAGTTCCAATGTTCTGCCCGCTAAGAGAAGGATCTGTGCAAGCCATATTCTGGATGGCAGGCAACGGGCTGAAGTTACCCATGATGAAAGTGCTGATGACACCAGTGTATCCAGATACGAAGAGAGAAGTCCCCCAGATGGAGAGCAGGCACTTATCTCCCCCGGTTTCGACAATGAGCAGGGTCGCATGAAACCGACGTTTCGACATCCACCAACAGTCACCAGCTACTTGAAGGAGTGGTTTAGCAAACACAAAGAGGTGAGCATTGCCAACACCCATCTACATAATCCCACACTGGGCAACTCTAGCCCGAGCGTAAAATGGATGTACAGTCAACTTCGCGTATAACGACACTAGGCGGGGCATCAGAAAGGTGTCCTTATTCGCAAAGTGTCCTTCTACCCGAAGTCTCATTATATGTATTACAGTTAGATGGGACTTTGCTCTGGGCATGGCAATTCTGTCGTTATTCGCGAAGTTGACTGTACCGTATTTTCGGAAATTACTAGCACCCGTTTTTTATTACCGCCTGTCTGAAATATAAAAACTCGGATGTTGAGCCAATAGTAATATGGGGAAAGAGAAAAGGAGCTATACGTTACTAGTTATGACTAACAGTCCACCACGGTAACGAGATAATATAATTCCGCACCTGAGCCTTCCAAGTTGGAAGGTTGTTGTGTAATAGCTGAGATGGGCAGTTAGTTACATTTTTCTCTCCTTGCGTATTTTGTATCTGCATATTAGTACCCTTTCCGTGAGTCGCTCGTGAGTAATGTATGAGTCGTGTATGGCTAAACCCGTATTTCCCCACATTACCCGTATGACTGTCTGTTGTGAACTGTGATTGGCTGCTAGTATTAATGTTACAGAATGTTCCAAAGCTGTGAACTGTGATTGGTTAATTATGCTAATGTTTCTAGAATTTCGTCGGCGCCCGGTTTTAGTAGATTGCTGATTGGTTAATGACCTACAACATGGCTGCCGGTTACCGGACTTTTCTTCCCTTGCTTTCTTCTTTCTTGTTGCCTTCTATTCTCTTTGCATTCCAAGTGTGTATAATATTTCTTTCCTGATAACTACTGGTAAACTACGACGTGAGTGTTTAACTGGAGTGAGTGTGATTGCCTCCGGGGCCAGCTATTATATTGGTACCAGCGGTGGGATTCGAACCCACGCCTCCGGAGAGACTGGAGTCATAACTGGTAACTTGTAGGTCCTTTTCTCTTTCCATGTGGGAAATATGCGCCACATCATTTCAGGGCATTCTTTTGGAAGTTTTTTTAAATTGGGTGAAATTGTAGAGCTCACAAACTACTAAGCGCCTCGGTCAGTATTGCCGAAAGTCACAATAGCTTTTAAATGTGTAGAAGTAGCTCACAAGACTAAGATGTGTAGCTGCTAACTCAATACATTCCATGCGGTGGTCAGTCCATGGCCAATTGCACATAAACACAAGGTGTGACGCAGCTCCAAAATTTGGTGGGCGGTGAGTTGATCAGGCTCACTTAGGCAGCCAAAGACCAAACATCGCTTAAAATAATAAAGTTATGATCAGCTGGGTGGATTATGATCAGTGAGTTATAATCAGCTCATTGGACTCACTACCATCCAGTCAGGTCAACAAGGGCACGTGTGATAAGTTTTTTTTCCTTTCAATCTGAGATCAATGGTACTTTCTGCCCGCATGCGACCACTGTCATTATGCCTTGATCACAGCGTGTAGTAAACTATAGTTTCAGCAGCATGTAACTTGGACTAATTGGCATCTCCAACATTACAGTCGCAATGTCAGATATTAGTCTCATGCTCCAGAACAGTCGGGTTAAAGTAGCACAATAAGTTGCGACCTGTTGCATTGTCAGACTATGCATACATGCTGACAGAGTGTGGCGTAGGTTGGATGGTTTCGCTTTATTTTCTCTGACTCTCTCTCTCCCTCTGTTTGCTTTTCCCTGTTTTTTTTCTCTTCTGCCTTTCTCGCTCCTTCTCTACCATTGTGTGTATGTGCGTATGTGTGTGTGTCTCTCACTCCCTCTCCCCCCCCCCCCCCTCTCTCTCTCTCTCTCTCTCTCTCTCTTTTCATCTCTCTTTCTCACTCTCTTTTTAGTTTCTCTTTCTGTCTGCCCCTCTCTCCCTTTCTATTAATTTTCTCTTTCTCTCTCCCTTTTATTGTTTTCTATCTCTCTCTCACAGAACCCATACCCTACTGCTCAGGAAAAGGAGATGCTTATTGCCAAATCGGAGAAGAAGTTTGGCTTTACAATGACCAATCAGCAGCTTGATAACTGGTGAGCGACTTTCATCTTCCCACTTTTTCTCTTGCATTATTCTTCACCAGTCGGCTAAGGTCATACTCATGCCACCTGCTTATCAAAGACCAGCAAATTAGCGTAGGTTTTGATGCTAGTGATGTGCATACAAAAAGATGCAAAGCTCACAATTCTGGCTGTCCATGAGTTTAAAAAAAACAATGATGTGAAATCCTAGCAGTCCAAAATGCGGCTCGGTCGGATGAGCCATTCATTATGTCATCATGCGTGGTATATCATCCGAAATGCTTCATTGGCAAAGTTGCCAACATTGTGTGCATCACGGCACGATGCTGTCACCTGCGTTGCTGACCTGTACGTTCATTATTTTCTTTGATAGCTACTGGAGAAATTATCGCAATGAATAGAGCAAGAGGCATACTGAGAGCAGCCGGGCACCATGACATTATTCTAGCGTGTTTATTCCTAAACGGTTTCAAGCGGTGTTCTCGCCAGAGTAATCATAGACACGTAAACAATAACCTAGGAACGACAACCTGAAGTACTCAAAGAACTTTATTGAAAAAATCCATGATTACCTGATCCGGAAAAACGAATAGAAAAATCCAAAGCAAATTCTTGCTCACAGGCAATTATTACTCAATTACTGTATTACAACCATAAGTACTAGTACAATATTAATAATGCAATGAAATACCAGTAAGTTAAGCACTCGGTACACAAACCATGAGCAAAATCTACTTGTGTTTTCGAGGCCATCTCATCAGAAAGATTACTGGCAAATCTAATTCAATCAAGAACGCAATATTTATACGCAATTGCAGAGTAATAAATTAGAACCTATCCAGCGCGAACAAATGGGAGCTGAGAGAAGGTATAAGAACGAAAACATCAGGTGGCAAAATATGAGATAAATTTACCACCAGCAAGTAACCGTGCAAACATGAAAGAATTACTGATCTAAATTTGCAAACAATTTCAGTATGAACAAATTCTTCTTCTGCTTACATAGGAGTGGTTTAGTGGTAAATATGTAGATGGACTGCAAAACATGCAAATATCTTTGACTACGCGAACGAGACCAAACGGAAAAAAACAACCATCAGTATAACTAGAACAAAAATCACTATTCTGCAGCAGATGGTTAGCCACAGCAGAATCATACACCCCCAATAACCACTACCAAGACCAGTGCATGTTTTGGAATTACAAGATGAAGAAACCGACCTGTTCATCCGTGAAAGTATATCCTTTGCTGAAGAAGATGATGTTCACGTTGATGTTGAAGACACTTCCGTTGATGACCTTGGTTGTGAAGAAGATGATGTTGATGTTGGTAGTGGTTATAGGGGGTGTATGATTCGGCTGTCGGCTAACCATCTGCTGCAGAATAGTGATTTTTGTTCTAGTTATACTGATGGTTGTTTTTTTCGTTTGGTCTCGTTCGCGTAGTCAAAGATATTTGCATGTTTTGCAGTCCATCTACATATTTACCACTAGATCAGTCCTGTGTATATATAAAGCAGAAGCAGAATTTGTTCATACTGATATTGTTTGCAAATTTAGATCAGTAGTTCTTTCATGTTTGCACGGTTGCTTGCTGGTGGTAAATTTATCTCATATTTTTCCACCTGATGTTTTCGTTCTTATACTTTCTCTCAGCTCCCATTTGTTCGTGCAGGATAGGTTCTAATTAATTACTCTGTAGTCGCGTATAATATTGTGTTCTTGATTGAATTTGATTTGCGGGTAATCCTTCTTATGAGATGGCCTCGAAAACACTCAAGGAAGGTACTTGACTGTATAAGAATATGACAAGTAGATTATTATTGGGAATAGTGAGAAATAAAAATGTCTTGCCTCCGAGGCTGTATTTCCACCGCCATAATTAGATCCTTTGTTTATACTAACTTCTCACTAACTTAGAAGTTGCGACTTCGGCGGTATTATTGATGAAGTTGGTTGTTCCAACGAGGAACACACGCTTCTTGCCGAGCTTGACACTTGAATAATTCACGACTGGCATCCGGCGCACACGAGGAGCACATCGCACCTTCCACACGGCAAACCCGCAAGAAAGGGAGTGGTGTTTTCTTGCAGGTTTGCCGAGTGGACGGTTCGACGTGCTCCTCGTGTGCTCCGAATGGCGGTCGTGAGTCAGTCAAGTGTCAAGCTCGGCAGGAAGCGTGTCTTCCTCGTTGGAACAACCAACTTCGTTACTTCTCACTATTTCATAATAATCCAATTCTATCACTTATGTATTGGTACTTCTGGTTGCCATTCCCTACTGTTCACTTGCCTGTAATTCCTCCAATGAGAACACTAAGTCTTCTAACTTTAACTGGTAAGCAGTGTTGCCGGAAGAATGCCGTTCTGTCTGGAACTCTGAATTACAACCCAACCTCATTCTGCTTTCAGTATCAATCAGACTGGCGTACACTATCACATTTTACTTCGATTCTCCTTTGAAGTTCATGGCTTGTTGAGTGATAACAATTTTGATCCCAACCCGACTGTGTGACAGGTTCATTAATCAGCGTCGGCGAGTTCCGAACGGTCCCAATCGCTCAAGGCTAGGATCAGTTGGCCAGTCAGCGGCTGAATCCGTCACTGTGACAGCGGGCACAGCAGTATCATCAACCTCAACCATGCAGATCGGCAATCCACAGAGCCAGCTGAGCAGCCACACACGAACTCCCATCCAATCGCCGACTATGCCCAACAACACTGCACTCAGTCCTGTTCAGCTGCAGATGGTGATGTCACAGCAGCACTGGGATAGTGGGCACGGTGAGTGGTCGGCATAACATTCTTTTGGGAGCAAAGGTCATTTGATGTATCATACAAGTAGTTCAGTGTGGGAGCAAAGCAAACCCATTCCTAAAACCATCGCCGAAGTCGCAACCACTATTTCATACAAGTAGTTCATTATTTTACGTACATCAAATGTACATGTATGTGTTGTCGGTGCGTATGCGTGTTGCTGGTGTGAGTAAACTTAACCCTTTAAGAGCCGCCCCATACTTGAATGCAAAACTTCAAAAGATCGTAACTCAGTCCAATCTCGCTCAAATCCAGTGATCGAAATATCCAGGGCGAAGAGAAAACTCTCACCTGTCGGGAGAAACAATCCGCGAAGCACTGCAAGCCACGGTTCCTGAGATAAATCACTCGTAAGTTGAGCCGCGATCGCGGCAATTTCAAAAGCGCGCAGTGCGACTTTAGTATTGAGAATTTTGAGACTTTTCGCCACGCTGGTTTACTCGAATTTGCACGGGTTTCACTGTTGATATTGTCAAGAGTACACAGCGAAAAAATTGGAACTCCACGATCGAGTAAAATGAAATATCTGGAGTGGGACGCAATTGGACGCATTTGGGGCATTTTTCGTACTGTCGCTGCGATCTAGCGCTGGCTAGACGGTGTGCTGGCTATCATGATCGACCTCATTCTCTTCCTCTCGCGGAGACCTTTCCAGGAAGCCCTAGATTGTGAGGATTGAGTGAGTAGAACTGAAGCTATGATCCAAGGAACACGAAAAAATGCAGAATTTTGAAAATTTCCTGTGGCTCTTAAAGGGTTAAAAGAGATTTCGTCTTCGGTTCATCATATCCAGTTAGTTTGCTCCGCTCATCGAGTGTAAAAAAGCATTCACATAGAGCATATGGGTTTTCATTTTTCAATATGTTGTCCTCCTGTGAGGATAACAAGAGGCATGTGCAGATCCAGGGGAGTTCGTTCGTTTCTCTTATGATTTGTCGTCTGACTCTTTTATAGTTGTTGTGTGATCAGTCGGTGTGGTGGGGATTTGTGTGACATCAGGCCGCACCGAAAAAGTCTTTGTTTCGGGTAACATGGCCAGAAAAATACCGGTCGTTCAGTCGGCTCTCTTTTTTTTGCCGATATTTTTTGCCAGCTAGCTGGCCTCTGCGTACACCGCAGACACACCCACACACAACAGAAAGATACAGGTCACAGTAGTAGTGTGGTCTTTGTTCACTCACGGTGGAAGATGGAAGAGCTCAGCGTAGTGTATACATGAGCAAGAAGCAGGGCCTGCCACCTCACGCATATACATGTACACGTATGTACCAGACCAACATGATGCAAGAAGTGAACCACTGTGGTGAATGAGGCCGCCGGAAAATTAACCAGCCCGAAGCTGGCGGAAAAAACCTCAGGACCCCGGCGGAGGCACAACCCTGAGGAAAAACCGGTTAGAATAACCCCATAAGATAAATGAACAAAACGTAGCCTGCAGGACCTATCCCGAAGTGAGAATAAAGGGGAGGGCGGGTAGGAAACTACAACGAAAAGAGAAAGACCACGATGAAGAGAAAAGTTTGAGAACACTGACAAAAAACCAGCTGATGCAATCCACGGTGCCGTATCTATGGTGAAAATGCTGGCAAAAAAATACATTTTTCGTTTCATTCACTACTCTCAGCCAACGAAAAATAACACTTATGCATGTCATGCACCAGATCTAATTACCGTTGTGCACTTGTGTACAGTACACAGCCCAGATACAAAATGTGTGGTCAATAAAACAGGCGTAGTAGCATTCTCCATCGACAGCTCGATCATACCGCCGGGAACAGTCAAACTGGACCGTGGTCATACTCAGGCACCGAGCAGAGCTCCGAGACGTTGCACATCAACACATCATTCAGCGATCATTGCGGGCCAGGAACTACACCTTCCTGTTGCTCCAACGTAAAGAAAAAGAATCAGCGTCCGAACTCCAAGTGGAGTTCAGCATTATCACTCTTGTCAGCACCGTTGCGGCTTGACCCGGTTTCGATGAAGACAGCACACACAGTGCTTTTGAAGTGAGCGTTGCCTTCTGGATGAAGAGTTTCCTACAAATTGCTCAGGGTACAATCCTCCGTGATAATACAGCTGTTGACGACGGTCCGGCCACCGTCAGCTATAGCGACCAAATCGTTTTGCCCCTAGAGTTTCTAAACTAAAACAAGGTGTTGTCGAGAACGTTACACTTGGCAACTACAACCACCCTGCAACAAATCCGGCGGACTTGATCGAGTCACTCGAAATGAAGGACTGAAATGTGCAGCCAGAGCCAGGAAGGAAAATCTCTGGGCGTGGCACACTGCGAAGTGTACAGTCATGTACATGCGTGTGATGCGCACAATATGCGTATATGCATGACTGGGTCGTTTCGTCTCACACATACTGACATAGGCACATGCGCTTGAGTTGCTAGTGTACTGGTGGTACCTTGCATAATTATAAAAGTATTGCGATAACGCACTGCACATTAAACTATGTGAACATGGTGTTTTTGTGGTGTCCGTGTGTCGCGTGATGGACTGCATTTAGGTTCACTTATAAGCCCATGCGCTTATTTGTGAGGGTGCGCTTATGCCCGGATATAGGCACATGCGCTTAAATGTGCGTCACTACGGTAATCCACAAAGGAGGCAGATGTTTTATTTATTTATGGGTGACTGGTATGGTGTTGTTGAGTGGCTGGTGTTTTTTGTTTTGTTTTGTTCTACCATTTGAATCAGGGACAATTCTAACTCTGAGGAGAGAGTTTTGTCGTCACGAGTTCATTATGTGCACGTGTACCTGTTGTTCGTGCATGCGCATGTTACTGTTGGAGAGAGAGAAAGTGTGTAAGTGTGTGTGTGTGAGTGTGTGTGAGTGTGTGTGTGTGTTTGTGTGCGTGTATGTGTGTGTGTGTGTGTGTGTGTGTGTGTGCGTGTGAAGTGAAAAAGTGAAAAAGAAGTGAAAGTGAAAAAAGACCAAAAATAGGGATTCACTGGCCAGAAAAAGTCACTTCAAATAGCTGTATGGTGTAGACCAGGCTGAATAGTGACGGTCAATTCTTCAGCCTTGCAAGCTGTTGAATGGTGCAATCCCAGCACAAGTTGCTATGGCATCTGCCGTAGCATTGCTATCATCGCCTCCGGCGATGGGCGTCAAAGGTCAAAGGTGTGTGCGTGTGTGTGTGTGTGTGTGTGCGTGAGAGAGAGAGAGAGAGTGAGAGAGAGAGAGAGTGAGAGAGAGAGAGAGTGAGAGAGAGAGAGAGAGTCTTCATCTTCCGTTGGTCATGACCAAGTAGTTGTTTCCTTCGTGTCTTGAGTCTTGTTGTCCGGTAAAGCTATTCAGTGTGCCATGTCAATCCCCTTCGTCCAGGAATTCTGAGTGGCGAGATGGCAAGAGGCTGGGAGCAGACTGAGGAAAGGGGAAAAGACTAGTTGCAATAGATGCACTTGACTTGGTGATGCCAACAGCATGGATCATTGACGGGTTTGAGGCCTTGCCCCCTTGCCACAGTATCCAGTATTCAGCTTTTCTCAGTGTGAGAGTGACACAACTAAGGCAGCAAGGCATGCACATGCAGAATAGCACCCAGATGCAGAATCGCACCGAGATTCAGAATAGCATCCAGATGCAGAATAGCACCCAGATTCAGAATAGCACCCAGATGCAGAATAGCACCCAGATGCGGCAGAATATCGCCGAGATTCAAATAGCACCCAGTTGCAGAATAGCACCCAGATGCAGAATAGCACCGAGGTGCCGAATAGGCACCAAGGTGCAGAATAGCACCCTGATGCAGAATAGAACCCAGATACAGAAATCACCCAGATGCAGAGTATCACCAAGGTGCAGTATATCACCCAGGTGCAGAATGGCACCCTGATGCAGAATATCACCCAGATGCAGAATAACACCAAGATGCAGAATCGCATCCAGATGCAGAATCGCAACCAGGTGCAGAATAGCACCCAGATGCAGAATCGCACCCAGATGCAGAATCGCAACCAGGTGCAGAATAGCACCCAAATGCAGAATAGCAGATAGACGCAGAATAGCACTCAGATGCAGAATAGCACCTAGATGCAGAATACCACCCAGATGCAGAATAGCACCCAGATGCAGAATCGCACCCAGATGCAGAATCGCAACCAGGTGCAGAATAGCACCCAGATGCAGAATAGCACCCAGATGCAGAATAGCACCTAGATGCAGAATAGCACCCAGATGCAGAATATCACCGAGATTCAGAATAGCACCCAGAAGCAGAATAGTACCCAGATGCAGAATCGCACCCAGATGCAGAATAGCACCCAGATGCAGAATATCACCAAGGTGCCGAATAATACCCAGATGCAGAATAGCACCCAGATGCTGAATATCACCAAGGTGCAGAATGGCACCCAGATGCAGAATGGTGTGGGTCAATGCAGTTAATCCTTGTTAGCGCTTATCACATGCACAGACCGTCTCACTGCTTCTGTCCTCATCATGGTTCCTTATATAAGTTATAACTTACTTAACCATGTCCTTTTGTCTTTGGGCAAATCTACATACATGTATATCGCATGCACTGCTCGTGCACGTCTGCGCACGCTGCACTGATTGGAGCACCCAATATGCCACCTGGTGCGCCTGTCTGCGTTCCGCGTGCAGCATGCAAGTATAAGGTACACAGGGCTGTGCGCCTGTCCTGGCTCTGGGTCACACTTACAGCTCAACCATCGAGCATACACTGTATATCACGCCAGTTTGAAGAGCTCAAACTGTTTAGTTGTTGTTTTCTGGCGCTTCTTGCTCAGCAGAAGTGGTTGGCTTCTGAACTATTTTCCCGCCATCCGACCCATACCATTATCTATAACCAGGACTTCCACTATCGGTCCATTTTCACAACAAAATACTGGGTGCTGGCACAACGCTAAAAGGGGAAGTTAAGCCTGAAATCAAAATTTTCAGCAGTTGTAGTCTTCGGGGTGCCGACTCGAATAGTCTTGGTCCGAGGAAGCTGAAACCTTCCGGTCATCCTTTATTCCCAATCGAACTCGCGCGCTTCCGCCGAAACTGGGTGACGGCGCCCTACTAGATGAGGATTTGTATGCAAAATGTCACTAAAAGCGCCATTTTGTTCTTATAAAAGCACGGATGGCCGCGATTGGTCCATATGTTGTAGTCTAGTAGGGCGCAGTCACCCAGTTTCGGTGGAAGTGCGCGAGTTCGATTGGGAAGAAAGTAGGAAGGGAGCGTCTCAGCTTCCTCGGACCAAGACTATTCGACTCAGCACCCCGAAGACTACTACTCGTGAAAATTTGATTTTAGACTTAACTAATACCTCCCATTTAACGACAATGGTTTAACTCGTTCAATCACTCTGTGCTCTATGTTGAGCCACTCAATCTCTCGTGCTCTATGTTGAGCCACTCTCTCTCTCTCTCTCTCTCTCTCTCTCTCTCTCTCTCTCTCTCTCTCTCTCTCTCTCTCTCTCTCTCTCTCTCTCTCTCTCTCTCGTGCTCTATGTTGAGCCACATTGCCTCACTCGCAGCCAGCACCCCCATAACTCCAAACTGTGTGTTTGTGTACTTCATAGTGGTCTAGTATCTGCATGACAGTTGTGCATGTGGGATGTGGGCTAACACCCAGATGCAGAATAGCAGCCGGATGCAGAATAGCACCCAGTTGCAGAATAGCACCCAGATGCAGAATAGCACCCAGGTGCAGAATAGCACCCAGATGCAGAATAGCACCCAGATGCAGAATCGCAACCAGGTGCAGAATCGCAACCAGGTGCAGAATAGCACCCAGGTGCAGGGTACTACACCTCCGCAGCACCTTCCTTGCCACTTCACTGTCTGTTGTGAAAGCAGCTGAGTAAAATTAATGAAATCCAGTCGCAACTGTGCACAGAGCTCAGGTCAACTATGGAAATGTGCAAGTGTTCGTTTGTGAACAGTGGTGACAACTGCCAACGCTGCCTCTGCATGCACAACAGTGCATGAGCAGCAATCACACATGTAGCCTGAGATATTAATGCATGTGCGGCTTTCTTTGTGTAGTTGTCTTTGTGTTTGATTGCTGCGACAACAGTACTTTCCTCGTGTGGCTTTCTTTGCGCTTTTGTCTGGAACAGGAACAAGCACACTTGGACCAGCATCCATCTTGAAGTCACCAACAACCCTCACTGGTGCTCCCATCATCTTCACCACCACAAAACCTGGGGTTGCAAAGAGTAGCGTAGCCATTGCTGCTCCACAGCAAGTCCTTCTATTGACCCCTGCTCCTCAACCTGCTAGCACACAGCCCGCAGTCCTATCAGCACTGTCACCACCGTCCCTTCTTCCACCAGTGTCAGGTATCACGGTAGTATCACCACCAGCTATACCGATGGCAACTTCTCCTCTGCACATGGTGTCCCCATCAGCTGGGACATATGCCTCCACGCAAAACCCTATGCCAGAAGTCAAGCGTGTGGCCTACCCTCAGCCAATCCACCACCAAGGCTACCAGGGTGCTACAACCCTTGTGTACCAAGTGTCTGACAATAACCCTAATGCCAAGCTCAACGCCCGACATAAGCCAACAGCATAACTAGTTTATCACAGCCAGCTCGGAGCACAAGCCACACAACACTGTCAGCTACAACGCAACCAGTCAACCTTATCAACTGCAACTACCCGTGGGTGAACGAAACCGCAGCAGCAGGTGTGTGCCACCCAGGACCTCCTCGACTAGCGGCATAATTCTCCATCGGCTGATGCAGAACAATGCAAGTAAAGCTTCCAACAGTGCACAATGCATATCCAGAAGCTATAGTTCAACCATCCGTCTCTGCTATCCTGCACTGCCACAATTGCACCTGCCTCTACTAGCCAGCAGTGTCGCAATTGCAACTAGCTCCACTGCACTGTACAAGTGGCCTGCAAGGACACTCACTCTTCAAGAATTCCTGGTATCATCGTGAGTCAGAAATGCCTGTCTGATTCCTACTCCCTGTGACAATATTCGTCTAAAAGCCCCGTTCATGCATATGCTCCTGGGGCTTTATAGCTATTCTTAGTTGTAGGACTGGTTCTTATGTAGAACACAGCTCATCATCATCACGGTATTTTCCTAGGTGTGTAATTGTCTGTGATGTGTCACCAATGTGACACAACACTGCAGTAACTAGTTACTCTGTATTGCTATCCTGTGTTAGATTCACGAAGCCCGAGGTATCTACAATGTGTGGTGCGTGCACTTTTTTAGACAAGTATCACTGCAATGACTTTACTTCCCAACCTGTGATGTTGCCTGCTCTCTTTCCTTCTCTCTTGCCACCCTGCCTCAGTCAGTAAATCTAGATAGGCTTAAGAAGCCAGAAACCTTGTCCGCCGTTCAGACATGTCGCGACAGTGGCCTGGCCACTGCACCAACAGCATGCTGACTAGGCGGCCGCTGTACAGCCTACACTACAGGCTATGTGTGCTCTCGCTCCCTGTATCACTGTGAACTTATGTTATTACTAGTGTTATTTACTGCGTGACATTCACCACCATTTCGCTCTGTTTATAATAATTATACCCTCTGGTAATTATTGTTATTTTTAGTTCAACTAACCTGTCACCAAACCAGTTGCAAGTGTTTTGGCGATGACGGTGGCTTGTGAGCTCGTTTGTGTCTGTCAGCTGTGCACATCTGGGGAGTTGCTATATGGCGCACAGCCAGAGAATTGCACCGTCTCAAATTTTACCGGCTTCAATGGACACAATTTCAGTTTCCCTTGGACAATTCCGAGTCATGATCTTTGGCATCCGGGAAAGCAACCGATGAGAGGAACACTAACAGCTCAAACTTTATCCCACAGGATGCGCTGGACCAGGGCTGCAAGCCAGCGAAGCTAGGCGTTTCAGGATGGGGCTTGCGCTTTCGATCGATCTCAATACGCCATTTCACCCTTCTTCTTCGAGCTTCGTACTGAAGAAACTCAAAATATGTTTTGTTGTTGTCACTGCCCCCCCCCGGGGCCCGTACTGCAGTACAAGAATTTGAATTAAAATTAATTATTTATTTGAATGATCGTATCCTTGGCAATTCCTTGCCAAACTGACGTAATCCTGGAAAATCCTGGCCCAGTCGTTGGGTCGACCGCCGTCCGCCTACATTCTGTGTCCTGACTCCTGAGTCCTGAGCGCTCAGTGCTAGCTGATATAAGTGCTAAGGCCTGCCAGCACTGTAACATTACAACTAAAATTTCTAAATTGAACTACAGCTGTACTTGTAAGTTGTAGCTCAAGAACCACTTATCTTTGTTCTATTCATCGGTTAATAGATGACTTGCACAAAGAGTCAAAGATTGTCTGGGTTCGAGACGTGGCAAGTGGACCTTCTAGAATTCTCACACTTCCCGACCATTTTGAGTTTGAGACTTTCGCGTTTTGCCTGACGAACACTGAGCTAGTTTTTTTGGCTAGAGTTGTTTTGATTTGGCTTGTATCGTCATGCCGAAGCGCTGCTCTTCTGAATGCACCAGCCGACGAGAGATGGAACTAAGCTAAGGCTCCCGTTCCATACGTTCCTTTCCGAACCGGAAGGCAGAAACTTGATGAAGTTGATCTATTCATGCCATATCGAGATGAGCTTGAACGAGGGAATATTTTAGTATCATTGGAAATAGTGTGGGCTGCAGCAAGCACGTCGTGGTCCTGGAGTGTGACTACTTTCCCCCAGTGGAAGCGAAGTCAAGCACAACGAAAGTAACTGTTTGTCGACGTCTGAGAAAGAACTCGATTCCTTTTGATTGCTGCACTAGCCACTACCTCCAGAGCGACCCTCTCGTGAGGACAGACTGCGGAGAGGTCCGGAACCTGCCGCGTAACGAGTGGAAGTCCAAACCACGGAAAATGAAGAGTGGAGGGACCGAGCGTGAGAGCCAGATGGCCTTTAAATAGTACTTCAAGTAGTATCTGAGTTGACGGAGAGAACAAGTGTGCTGGAGAAACGCTGTAAAGTCCTGAAGCCTGATGTAGTACTAGCTACTGTTGAAGTCTCACTTGTTCCGATATGAACGTTTCATCAGCCCGGACCGTCTGAGCAACTGTATCTAGACTGGACTTTGGCCAGAGACATGTCATTGTAAACCTTGCTGAAGCCGTATATATCCAATGCCTGGCTCTAATGAGAAAGCAGTTTGGCGCAGGCTCGCAAACTATGATTGAATCAGGGAGTGGTCGAAAAATCACAAATATCCCTCCATGATTAGCTGCTGCTGATGACGATGCGGCTCCAGCTGGGTCTCATGGGAAAGTAACCTGCATACCTGTTGGTTGCAACGAGGCAACGGTGTCCCATGTACTGAAGACATGACTGAACTACATGTGTCACCTTCTGGGAGGACGCGAAACAAATAATGCCAGAATAATGCCAGAATGTGTGCGATGCACTTGACTTATCTGAGCATGTTCATCATTGTGGATGTAGCAGAACTACGCTGTGAGGTACCTTCTGTGTTGGACCTGCAGTTGAGCCACTACTCATCTTACAAATTCCATACAATGGTGAAAGGACTTGTTGGAGCATCATCAAACAGTACATTCACCTTCATCATAATTATACTGGCTCCATTGTCTGCGGTAGTTCACATTTTGACCGGGTGCGCCGGGACGCTACGTAAAGAGTGGCGAGAACCGCTGGAGCGCTCATGATGCTCGTTAGCGGCGACGAATGTGAATGTCAGGAACGGGCACGCAACCGCACTACTGTACAGACCAGCGGCAGAAGTGATGGAAGAGTTGAACCTGTTCAACCGCCCATGCCGTGCACACGGACACAAGCGTAAAAGTGGCTACGTTTCGAATGTGAGCTGGCGATGGCGTCGTGTGGCGACAAAAACAACTGCCACTTTTCAAATGTCAGCATTTCGAACACTATACTTCCCATGATAACTCACCGAATGGCTCACATGACGGGGTTGGGCTGTACCAAGCTAGGATTATCATTTGCTGTGTTAATGGATAGTCCTTGAGTTTTTCAGAAGAACTGCTTGATATTTTACCTGTTGTTCCTTTAGAACGGCGCATTGTCCATGGCTGCTTTCTCGGTCTTCATAACAGACTGGTATTATCAGCGTGTCGCGTCCATCGATACTAACCGTCGAAATAACGGCTGCATGCGTGTTGTGCTGTGCGAATCGTACACGATTTTACAGCTCGTCCAAGCCTTCCCAACAGGCTCCTATATCCCTTACCATGGTTGTTGTTGGTTGACAGCTTGTCACAAGGTGGAGGACACTGTGTTCAGAAACATTGACCTTTCCACAACCATCCACGGTTTGTAGAGCCCTGGTCGGTTGCGACCATCTGAACGGTATGTGTGTTAGACCCGGTTCTGACCCTCTCTGGATGGTTGTAGAAAGGTCACTGTTTCCGAACACGGTGTCCTCCACCTTGTTACATGCTGTCAACGGTTTATCTACTATTCTAGTGCCATGTAGATCTACATGGGTCATAGCTGTACAGTGCTGCTCAATGAAATCCAGTCGCGAGAGTCGTTGGCGCCGTGCACCTTTTCGCTGCCCAGTGTTCGCAGATATATCTAGGACCGCTCAACGCCCGGCGCGTACCACAGTGCTGGCAACTGAAATCCGACCCGGCGAGGGGGTCGGATTTCAGTTGCCAGCACTGTAGTGTAGTACATGTACTTGAGAAACTGTACTGGATTTCATTCAGCAGTACTGTACGTGCCGTGTACCATGGTGTACTGTGCAGTCACCACTGGTCACGGTCCGTAGAGATCTACCGGCCGCTGACACAAAAAGTAAACTAGTACTAGTAGTAGTACAGTCAGACACAGGTAGTAGTAGACTCCAGACAGTCAGTGAACATGGTGAAGGATGCCCACACTGGGCCACAGTCAGTGTAGCCTGCGTAGATCTACACAGCTACAGGGTGCACTGCACTGAGCTAGCTGAGACTACAATCCGGTAGTACAGTACATTGTAACTTGCCCCGTCTCACTCTCGGCTAGGATTTTTGTGCAAGTCATCGTTTCGGTGATTGTTCCAGACGGTAGCTACATGCACAGTGTGTGTATAGTCATTGTACTTTGTAGCCAGCTGGCTGTGAGTGTGAGTGAGAGTTTTCTCTTTGGCCGACAATAGTGAGGTTTTGCATTCCGAAATTCGGCAAAAAGATTCGGCACGCGGGAGCGAGGTCGAAAATGCACACGAAGATTCGGCATGTTTGTTCGGAAAAAGCTCACTTTGCCGAAAATATTTTTCGGATGAATTTTCTTGTAGAAGAGCGCTAGCGCGTGATTTATTCAAAGAGGTTTCTTATCTCGGCATCGCTTCGCCTCCGTCTTTGGCGACATCAGCATCGTCAGCTACCTCTCATTGCTCCTCTGAGTCCTCTCCACTGCCTGTCTACTCTCTTTCGCCTGGACTGGAGTATCCTCACCGTCATCTGTGTGGCTGAAAAGACTATGGCGATACGCATAAAATTTGACTTGGCCATGGAGTTGGTTTTTCTGAGGTGACTGGGGAGGCAGGTTTGGCCCTCGACTCTTTGGGCGATCAAAGTTCGTTGGAATCAGCAAGAAAAGGAGCACGGGACAGGACATTGCTGATGCTGGGGCTCACGAAATGAAAACACATCATTTTCGACTTGCAAAACAAACGTTGGTGCGAAAATTCGGCATTTTGATGTTCGACAAATGACCGAAGAACGCCGAACCGAAATTCGGAATGCAAAACCTCACTAATAATAATATTATTTCGATATCTCGAGTCATTATTATCCCCGACTCGCAAAGACCGAGAATTGACCATGTAGCCGTCGTTTGTTACGATACTCGACAGTGTTAGAAAATACATGTACATGTACATGTACATGACGTAGACTGACAGAATCAATGTTCGAACTAATTACTTGTGTAATTAATAATTATATCAATCCTACAGGTGCGTGTATTGGTTGGGTGAAAAGGGCTAATAATAACACTTGAGGTGCTTGAGGTACTCAAGTCCACGCAGTCAAGTGGCCACACTTCTTGACTTCAGGGTATTTTTTAGAACACGGAGGCTCCACTGCAGCCAATTCATAATTATTATGATCAGTCACCACTATACACCAAGGTCTTCAGGACTATAGTGCATGCAGGGGAACAGGGTAGTACAGGAAATGGGGGACATTTTGAAAGACACATACCAGTAACTGAAACTGCCCAGGACACACACAACTGTTTGGTGTCACACCTCCTGAAAGTCACGTGATGACCAGTGTTTCTTGATGTATTCTCATCTACATGTTTGGCTACAATAAACAGCGGTTAGTGCCCCGGGGCACTATTTTTTCGAAATCCATCACAGATCATCGGGGACACAAGAGAGGGTACTACTACTAGTTCGTGAAGAGAGGGCACTCTTTCCCCGGTGCCATTAGAAGGCCTGGAAAGTGGTGCCATTAGAAATGGTGCCATTACTGCATTAGAACACTTCAATCAGTACTACAGTTGAGAATTGAGACACAGTCGAGCGAGCTGCATTCCCGGTGCCGAAAGGCGGGCTCACCATCCCTGTATGGCAACTACTCCCCCATGTCTAACCCCCAACTTGCCCAAGACGAGTCGAAGTGCG